AGCGGTAAAAAGAGTAACTGGATGTGTTACACTCAGCCGCTTCAGGTCTAGACGGTACCCAGAAGTGGCTGGGGTGCATGCAGGAGGCTGGACTCACAGAAATCCCACAGAGGCAAATCAGAGAAGCAGACATCAAAAGAGTTAAGTCAGTGACAAAATGTTCTTCTTAGGCGCTTCCCCCTCTGGTAAAGCCTCTGTTCCAAGGTACTTTTCTACTTATAAATAAAAAGAGAAAGCATTTTTTAAAAAAAATTAACAATTTAAGAACAATTAAACAAAAATCAGAAACAGCGTTTTTAAAAGAGTAGTACAGTCCTACTTCCCTCAGTAATCTATCCCTGAAATAAAACCTGCACTCCTCTAAATAGATACCATCAATTACCTGGTGACAGCTACCAGAAGTGAAGGCAATATGCCTCAGAGGAACTGAAAGTCTTCCAGAAAATTTGCTTTGCCCACTTTAACCCTTCTTAGTAACAGAAATGTCAAAATGCTATTGGTTTTTTCTTTCTTCTTAGGCCTGGCTTTTAAGACGGAACATCCTGCAAATTTACCAAAAGTAAAAAATCAAGTCAAGTTGTCAAGGGCTGGCTCCTACAGTGGAAGGAGCACTGAGCTGGGAGTCAGGACCTGGGTTCCAGTCCTAGCTCAGGCACAGACTAATAGTGCGGCTCTGAATAAGTCACTTCTACTCTTTGTGCTGTTTATTCTATAAAAGTATAGTGTTGGACAACCAACTGAGCCACCCAGGCGTCCCTCTTGTAGGATTCTTTTACTTTCCAGGTGTGCAATTACACAATTGCACAAATGGAAAACAAACATGGATAAAGTACCAAAAGAATAGCTCCAGGGAATTGCTCAAAGGAAGTGAAACTGATATTCTCTTTAGCTGTTTGGGTCACACTGCCCTCCAAGGTGAGCCTCAGCCCCGCCGGAGCACTACATTCTGGTGAATAATACCATCGGCAAAAGTGAAACAAGTGAAACACCTCCTACAGATCCAATCTTATTTTCCCGACAAATAAATCAGGACTACAATACCTTCAAGTTCTTTCTAATATCAGGCCTTTTCAAATTCCAAAACAATCAGGTAAAAAATTTTTTTAACTACTAGTAAAAGCTGCTATGCATTTATTACTATACTTTCATCAGTTATACCAGGCATTGGTCAGATCTGGCCCACCGCCTGTTTTTATACAGCCCTTGGACTAAGACAGGTTCTATGTTTTTAAGTGGTTAAAATATTTAAAAATATACATTTTGTGGCAAATGAAAATGATATGAAATTCAAATTTCCATGCCTATAAACAAAGTTTTATTAGAATGTAGTCACGGTGGGGAGCCTGGGTGGCTTAGTCGTTAAGCGTCTGCCTTCGGCTCAGGTCATGATCCCAGGGTCCTGGGATCGAACCCCGCATTAGGCTCCCTGCTCGGCAGGAAGCCTGCTCCTCCCTCTCCCACTCTCCCTGCTGTGTTCCCTCTCTCACTCTCTCTGTCAAATAAATAAATAAAATCTTTAAAAACACAAAATAGAATGCAGTCATGGTGGGGCGCCTGGGTGGCTCAGTCGGTTAAGTGTCTGACTCTTGGTTTCAGCTCAGGTCATGATCTCAAGGTCGTGAGATCAAGCCCTGCATCTGGCTCCTCGTTCATCTTGGGGAATCTGCTTGGGATTCTCCTCTCTCCCTCTGCCCCTCCCCCACTCACATGTGTGCTCGCTCTCTAAATTTTTTCTTTCTTTTTTTTAAAAGGATGCAGTCATGCGGGGCACGTGGGTGGCTCAGTTGGTTAAGCATCTGCCTTTGGCTCGGGTCATGATCCCAGAGTCCTGGGATTGAGCTCCACGTCAGGCTCCATGCTCAGCAGGGAGTCTACTTCTCCGTCTCTCTCTGCCCCTAGCCCTGATCATGCTCCCCCTCTCTCAAATAAATGAATAAAATCTTTTAAAAATAAATAATAAAGGGATGCAGTCATGCCCATTTGTTTTGTCTGTGGCTGCTCTTGTGTTATGACAGGGTGGAGAGCAGCAAAAATTTCAAACATATTACTATCTAGCCCTTTACAGAAAAAGTTTGTGACCCATAAGTTATTCTACCCCATGTACACCCACATCATTCTAATAAAAACTTCCAAGGTTTGTCTGATTATAAAAGATTTAAACATAAACCACGAATAGGAAAATTCTAAAAGAGGAAAAAGTGATCATGTGGAATTTGATTTTTCCAATGTATATGTATAAAGATAATACTGGCAATGCCTCCTTGTGGGTATACATCTGACATACAGCTTTCAAACCCAGAACGAATGGAAAGCCCTCAAGTTCACTGTCTGACTTCTGCAACAGTCTATGCTAAAGGAGAAGATAAAATCTACAGAGCAAAACACTACCCCTGGAAAATACATCCAGAAACCAGAAAGGTACTAGGAAGTTAGGAAGTGTTTCCTAATGACGTCAAAATCTTGCTTTCTGGTAAAGGTGTCCATACTTTCTGAGCCAAAAAATTTGGGGGAAAAAGGTTTTGAATAGTTTGCGTGTGCCACAGGCATTTTTGAATTTGGGATGCACTGAAGAGATGTCAAATTCGTCACTCTGATCCTCACAGGTCAGAGACGGAAGTGGAAACAGAGCTAAGGTTCAAACAGGTTAACAGACATTCATTCTCACAGATGGACTTTTGATAAACAGAGTTAAAAAGACAAGAATTACTTGCAAGTGTAGAGGTTTTAAACAAGTGGGGCTGTGAAATCTGGAGACTGGGGTTTTTGGAACAGCCAGGCTACCTGCGTGGAGCACTCTCACGCCATAAACATTAAATAAATTTAGCATCTTGACGTCCTACTTTCCAAAAAGTACCTAGTCCCAAATCGGCTTCCTAAAAACACATGGGCTATTAAAATTTAAAGGACGATGCCAAATAAATGTGTTAATGACAACTTGGTCACATACTCATTTTTAAGATTTGTACATATATTTTATTTTTTTTTTTAAGATTTTATTCATTTATTTGACAGAGACAGACACAGCGAGAGAGGGAACACAAGTAGGGGGAGTGGGAGAGGGACAAGCAGGCTTCTCGCAGAGCAGGGAGCCCAATGAGGGGTTCAATCCCAGGACCCTGGGATCATGACCTGAGCCGAAGGCAACTGCTTAACCGACTGAGCCACCCAGGTGCCCCAGTTTGTATATATACTTTAAAGACACTTTTATGTTGATTTTTACTAGTACAACTCAGACAAAAGGGGCACCAAAGCTAACACCAGTTGAAGTCTCAGGGCCTATTTAGGAAAGATTTATACTCTACGCAGAGTTTGAGCACTTACCTCTGTTCTCCCTTTGCTATTCATTATTCAGTTGCCTTCCCTCAGGTCAGAAAAATTCTCATTTCATTCAGGACTGGCTCATCAGTATGTCTCCGCCTTGGTACTTTCCCCTGATGTACAGATATGCATAGATACCCACAGTCCTCCTACCTCTTCTTTCACGGGTCATTTCAGAATGGTTATGTGCCCCCCAAACTCCTAACACCCACTGCCCACTCCACTGCAGCATTTATAAGCTCCAGCAATGTGGGACATTACTCATTTTTTCGTCAAATGTAAAAGAGAGAGACATGAATGGCAAGAAGCAACAGAGCCCTGATGTGCTAAGTAAGGTTAAGTTACTACATTATGCCACAGGACCACAAACCTTCGAAGTGATGTTTCTTCACATGGCTGCCTCACTATTCATTAAAATATTGTAGCAAGCCGGGGAACCTGGGTGGCTCAGTTGGTTAAGCGTCCGATTCTTGATTTTGGCTCAGGCCGTGAGTTCGAGCCCTGCTTTGGGCTCCGTGCTCAGCAGGGAGTCTGCTTGAGATTCTCTCTCTCTGTCCCTCTGGCCCCCCAATAAATAAATAAATCTTTAAAAATATATATATTGTAGCAAGCAGCCTCAGAACCATCCATTTAAGAGAGAATACAATTGGTGCAAAGTGAAAAATTTTCTTTCCAATCCTCAAGTCCCTACTTTCTTCATTTCCCCTTAAGTGCTCTTATAGCTTGCATCTTCTGAGAGTAAACTGTAAAAGCCAGAAGTCTATTACTTTATTTATTCACATATTTCCCCACATTAACTGGTCCCTAAAGTGAATGTGAAATGAAGAAAATATCTGCATGACTCGGTCGGTTACAGAGGAGAAACCAGGGAGCATTCCCCCTGCAAACCTGCCCCGCCTGCACTCACTGACAGTCCAGGAAGGCTGCTAGCCTTAGCAGGTGAGACAGGGCGGCTGCCGGCCTTCCAGCCAATCGGACACTTGCGCTTCAAATGAAAAGATTAAGAGAGAAAAGTCTACATATATTAACATCACTTTTCACATCTTGGCAAACTACCTTCCTTCCTCAGTTTCTCACAAACACATCAACCTATAAGGTGTATCCATTTGAGTCTCAACAGGGAAGAACTTGGAAGGCAAGAATGGACTGTCATTGGGAGCTGTGTAACTGACACATCTAAGTAGGAGACTCCGAGAAAATGAAAATGAGCAGTCGCCAGATTTTTGCTTAATTTTCCCTTTCCTCAAATTTAGAATGGAAATGGGAAGTGGGGGGACAGGCAAGTATGCAGCTAAACACAGCACAGGTTATTTTACAAGTGTAGAGCTTGTAAGGTATGCTGTTTCCAGCTGCTCAGGGAGTGTGGTCTTTAGACGTCCATCAGAACAGCAAAAAGGAAAAAAAATCCATGTTAGAAGAGCAGGTAAACACGTACGTCACAGCAGAAACCACATGAGCTAGGTATATGCGAGAGAAAACAACTGGCCTCCTCGAAGAATAGATATGCCCACAACTTTAAAATAGACTTCCTCTTCTATATACAAATCGTACTTGTCTTCTTTCCTAATGAGTATTATCTGCTTGAACAAAAAATAATTTTCAAGGTAAGAAAGATAGAAATCAGAGGACTCCATTCACACCTGTACAGAAATATTTACTTCGTAAGACAAAAAACTCAAGAGCATGGTCCACAGCAGTTATTTATTTAAATACTCGAAAAGGTTGATGATGGAAAAAAAATAGGTTTATCATGAGAGCTTATGTTCATTAGATTTATTTTACCATTTAAACAAGTGCTGCCTCCGGGTTATCCTAGCCAGACAGAGAACACTTTGACACGTGCAGCCACTCTAAGACGTTATAACAGACACGGCCGTTATCAAATGATGTACACTGGGGGAGGAAGTTCAGTAGTAGTAACGGTGACTGTTTATTTAAACTAAAAACATTGATAATATACAAATCTTTTTTCTCATTTGATTGAAAGGGCTATAAAATTCCACATACAGACAAAGGAAGCAACATAATCATATAGGTAATGCCCCAGCTAACTGCCTTTAACTCACTCCTTCCTTCAAGAAGCACTTCACTCAGCTATGCAACTTTCTACACAGCACGACAGCTTCGAGGCTGGCCTGCCAACGAATGACTGAAAGAGAGGTGTGAGCCGACCGGGACGTATCTGTTTTTAAAAATGGAGAGAAAATGGCAAATTGTGCCTGGTGTTCTTTGAAGAACCCAAAGGATCGTTCTGAGTAAAATGTGAAATAAATAAGTGATCCATGAGTAAATACAATCTCTGAGCTGACTTAGATCTAGGAGAGTGGGCCAACCGAACACTAACAATACCATGTAGAAACATCTAGAAACAACATTTCTAGAATTTAGTTTGGGAGACCATATCTTGCCTGAATATGTACATTATTTACAAAATATTCCCTTTTGGCCTCTGAAATTTAGCCATTTTAGTTTGGCTGTTAAGCTCTTTCTTTCCATATGCTAGCCAATACTGCAGTTATAACTATCATTAAAATACTCTTATGCATGAATTACAAATATTAATAAAGTAACTCTGCATGTATAAATATCTCAATATTTCTAGCAGAATTTAAAGCATACATAAATACATAAAAGTATTTGTTTTTGGTAGGGCCAGTATTTTTTTTTTTAATCATCGCTGTTTCAACAATGCTTTGTACATAGCAAAACCCAAAACTGCAAAAACAGTAGCACCAAAACTTGCTCGAAGCCAAAACGTGGAGCTCTTGAGGTCAGCTTGTGTCACATGCCTGTAGTCAGAAAATATAATTAATGTTCAAAACATGATTAGTATGAAACTACCAATTATATTAACAGTCTACTTTTAGGGAAGTATTAGCACACTTGTCAGGCTAATTGCATACAGTAATGCTTACCAAAAACATTTATCAATATAGCCACATGTACATCGCTTAGATAATCATTATCTTAAGACATAATGAAGACATTAATAAAGACGAATGTCTTTACAATTAGCTACTACTTGGGAGTAATCAACATCTAAAATTTTAGACATTTTCTTCACATGGGAAATGGAGAACGTAGACAAATCAACCTACTACTTTTTAATCCCACCACGGTCCTTCAAAATGAGAGGTAGAACCAAGATCTCACAATTTTGAGAGTCCATTTCATGGAACTTAATATGTGATCTCCTGTGCCCAGGAATCAAAAGCTATCATGTAAGCAGTTAAGTGACAAGTGACCATACTTTTCTAAGAGCAATGCTCAAAATCAACTTTGGAAACACTGAGCCCCATAAAAATTTACCAAAAAAATCCCAAAGGGCATGGGGAAGATTTACCAGTTCACATTAATTGGGTTACTGCTGGTTAAAGAAAGAAAATTAAAACAAAAACAAAAACAAAAAGCCCCCAAAATACCAACCCTGATATTAGTCAGACAGGCAGTGACAATGGCATGAACTAAAGGACATCATGTAACATGATGGACTGAAAGGTAAATGACATAAAAGAAGCCATATTATGCATGACAAGAAAAGGGACAGCCTGTACCACAAACTGAGTTTGTGAGCATGCTCAGTTAATGACACTGCTAAGCACCCTCAAGAGTCTCAAGTATGACAGCTTACCAGAAAGAGGATAACGCTTGAAAGCAAAAGCTGGAATATTTTATTCAAGTGTCACTGGAGTTTTAGTTAAATGAGCACAATTGAGGAGATGTAGAAAACTTACAGAATTAGAGCTTAGACTGTCTAGGTCAGGTTATTTTACAACTAAGAAACAAACAGATTTGAAGCAAAAGTCAGACATCGTTAAAAGACCAGGACACTGACATATGCAAAAGAGTTAAGAGCCAAGAATATCAACTGTACAAAACGACTTTGCCTCAGTAATAGTCAGAGTGATGATCGGATTAGTTATCACAAAATGCAATCTGCCCCTCCTAGAAACAAGTCTATAATACAAGCCAGGGTGTTCCATGCTTATCACCATGGCAAAACAACACACAGCACTCCAATTTCTTATCCTCCCCAGTTCCTAAAAAAAAAAAAAAAGAAAGAAAAAGAAAAAAAAATCACTCCTGACATATTATTTTACAAAAGCAAAGTGGTAACACAGGTTCATTCCACCTTGTGAGTTAGTTCCTCCAACAGGCAATGTTTTATTGATTGACTGATTTCAAGTTAGGGAAGAAAATTCATAGGTTTCAGTTTTTCCAGTTGGAAAAACCCCAACAAGGCCAACCCACTGGTTGTGGGAAATGTTACCTGGCTTCAAGACAAAGTGGACCATGGGATGACTCCATGAAGACAGAATCTTCCACAGAGCTGACGGCGTGCACCTGGTGAGTAATCCTGCCTTCGTCCTTGGCTAACATCATGGCACCCCACTCAGCTACCCGGGCTCTTAACCTTTTATACACATGCACACAGTTTGCAGTTCACAGCAGAGCTCACAAAAGAAGGGGACTGAAAATAACATCTCTCAATTAAACATCCCACACAGAAATTGAGTTGCCACCCTAATATGATGCATCTCGTGCTTTCTATATTTAAAATAAATGTATTCTGTAACAAATTGCCAAACTTCCAAAAAAAAAAAAAAGTCTATGGGTACTTTTTAAAAACACTCACATACTAGGCAAGAAAACCTAACGCTGTTATATACATTCTCTATATATCCCTGCGAGGCTGGTCCTGGTAGGTCTGAAACACTAAGAGAAGCCCTGGAAACCAGTCCCTAAACAGTACCTGACCGTAGGTGGTGATCACAGGTATTCATTCAAAATGAGGCTAACAACTATTAGTCACAAAATGTACTGATGCTTCTGACTGCAGATTACCAACAACTACAAACATACATCTGCAAAAAATTGAGTCCAACACCCCAAACTCATGGACTATCAGAGACCTACGATAAGAGTTTCAAAGTGTACTCCAAATCAATAGAGATGCATAGAATTTAAAGTGAGAACACAGGCTAAAAGGGCAGTAAAGCTTCTGCTTCGGCTTTGGTCTCTGATTTTTATGCATCTTCACTGATGGAGGATTTTTAAAAGATTTTTTTTTTACATTTATTTTTTAATTTGGGGAAGAAAAGGACTAGGATTAAAGCTAGCTGTCATCACATTAAAGTCAGTCAAAATGATTTCTCATAAATATTTTTCAAGTCTGGAATCTGTTTCACACAGCTCCCTTTGTTGTATTTAAGCAAGTATTACCATTCATGAAATAACTTATTCTGACTTTATTGCTTAGTTTACTTTTGCATTTCAAGATAGAAATCACTGTTTTCCACAAGCTATAGTATAGCCTTCCATAGGCAGAACAGCAATTCATATTTACATATGAGAAACAATATAGATACATGGCGAAGACATAGCCAGTTTAAAACTTAAGGCAACTATTAACTTGTAAGATATACTTCAATGACTCCATCAACCTTAGAGTGGTTATTTAAGACACCTATAGACCTGGGAAGCTACTTAGAGACTTATTTTATGCCGTTAGCATGTGCATTTAAAAGCTGCACTAACCAGGCTCTCTCTCTATGAGAACGCATTTATAATGGATGGCACACCTGTCACTGCTTAGCTGACTGACAGCACCTGAACAGAGAACAGTGTGACGATCTTAATTGTGTTCCATACGTATTGAGAACTGAGCCATGTTTGTCATTTCAGGTCTCAAGCTGAAGCAGAGTAATAGTTTCATAAAGCTGCTTCCTAGTTCATTTCAAAACTCAAGCAAAAATAATTCTTCCACAATTCAAAAGTATAATTTTTTCAAAATGACTCACATAAAATATCATTTTAGAATAAATTATCTTATGGCATACTTTTTTCTTTTTAGTTTATTTTTTTACTGTGAAAAAGGTAATATATGCTCATTATAAGATACAAAGAAAATAAAAGTAGGAAGAAAAAAAATGACCTAGAGTCCCATCACCTAAGGTAACTAATTAATACTTAGGGTATTTCCTTTTAGACTTTTCCTATGTGTTTCTTACATAGCTGCAAACACAGTGTGTATAATTTATAAATTTTATATCCTTTTAAAAATTTACTATTATGTAGGACTTTTCCACAAATTACAGAAACATCATTTTAAACAGCTTTATTATATCCGATTCCCCTATGGGTGGCTGTCTTCATTTACTGGTGACTATAACTAAAGGGATGAATATCCTTCTACATAAGATTTTTCTCTGTATTTAGTATAGTTTCCTTAAGAGACTTCCCAAAAATGAATATTACAAGGTCAAAAATCTGTGTGCATGTGTGTGTATAAAGATTCTTTTTAAAAAACCTATTGAGGGGCGCCCGGTGGCTCAGTTGTTAAGCATCTGCTTTTGGCTCAGGTCACGGTCCCAGGGTCCTGGGATGGAGCCTCGCATCAGGCTCCATGCTCAGCAGGGAGGCTGCTTCTCCCTCTGCCTCTCCCCCTGCTTGTCTCACTAGCTCTCTCTCTGACAAATAAAATCTTAAAAATAAAAATAAAAAATCTATTGATATAACAGAATCACATTTTCCTTCTCTATGTACAATAATTTAGGTCAGCAGTATCTCTTTTTAGAACATAAGAAATAATGATTAATGCTGGAATATAATCCTTAATTAATCATCTGAAATTTGTCAGAGCTTCTAAGTTCAGAGATGGAAAATTCTTCCATTTGGATGCTGGCTTTCTGCTTAGAAGTGCTGAGGGCTCATATCTCAATCAGATGACAAGCGCTTTTGTTTGTTTGTTTTTTTAAAGTAGGCTCCGCGCCTAATGAGGGGCTTGAACTCACAACCTGGCGATCAAGAGTTGCATGCTCTACTGACCGAGCCAGCCACGCACCCCTACGCTGCTACTTAGTAAGGCAGAGAGAAGGGGAGGTTTCAAACTTCAGGCAATAAAGGCTTAAATTAAGAAATGTCTGTATAAACAAGGTATATAACAGAGTGACCACAGTTCCTATGTACCTTTGCACAGAATGCCTTAAAGAAGGCATACAAGATACTTTTGATTCACTCTGCAATTTATGACATATATAAGAACATGAGTTAAAATCTTTATTGGTTCAATGTATTTGACGAATAATAAAAGGAATGGTATCATTTACAATATTTAGAAACAAAATACTCAAATTCTAAAGGGCTCAATGGAATTAAACCATTCTGGCTATTCCCATATAGGGTATTTTTAATATTGTTTTTTTATAATGTGTCCCAGGACTTTATATCTGAGGTATATAGACTATATTGCAGAGACCTAAAAGTCTGCAAAAATTAGAATTTAAGGAAGGGGGAGAATCCAGAAAGGTCCAGATGTCAGTCCCAGGCTCTCATGAGGAGGAAAGAAAAGTTCAGTGGAGCGAAATCAAGAGCAGCGCACTGAGACTGCGGGAAGAGCAGTCCCACCAGGCACGTTTACCACTCGTCCCATGCAACTTTGCAGAAATAGATGTGAATTTCCTAGATTGCATTCTTTTCATCTCACTACCCGATCCTTTCCAAACCCAAAGCAGAGGTGCACAGATGCAGGAATATGAATGTTCTAATTTTATAATTCTATCCACATATGTATTTCAAGTAGGAATTTTTAAGTTAATACTCTGCAACCGCCTACCTAACTGTAATGCATGGAACCTAGTTACTAGGGCTCATAAACAGTACATACAGCTTTTTCCTAGCTGCAATTACATAGCTCAAGTTGAAAACTGTACTGAGGTCACCAAAATTGTAGTTAAGCGTTCTGTTTTTAAATATTTCACTTGCTTTTTAAAGGCTTCTGGGCCCCCTG